TCTTCAATGGGAAATGTGCCATATGAACTACTCGTTTTTTATATCCTTACTGGAATACTTCTCTATATAGAATACAACCAAAAGAAGAAGAAAAGGAATACTTGTAAAGTGATCGTGCTGATCTGTATTGCGCAGCTATGCTCGCTTCATCCACTATCGTATCAAGCCATGGTACTTCCATGTCACGTGATGATACGGTCGTTTTTGACAAGGGAATTTAGATGGAAGGTTGACGATTCTGGTTACCCAGAGGGTCGACATGCCACGGCAGACACTTATTGTAGATGGACTTTGGTATTGCCTCTGTCCATCATTCAGTCTCAACGCCTTTAAGCGCCCCCGTATCCCTCTCATAAAGCGGAAACGAGCTGCTAAACCCGGTCAATATTCGGCTTTCTTAGCGGGTCCTGTATTAATACCGCGAAAATGCTTGAGCAGCGCTTCTATTCGAAAGGTTGATGGGATTGATCCGCCAAACGGGGATGGAGCTTTGGGAGATGGATATAGCGAATCAATGGACCAGCAAAAAACCCCTCGTCAATTGGATGAGAACCACAACAAGCTTGGTCTAGATGCCGGCAAATCGCTGAAAGAGGAGAACTCTAGCACAGAGGATACCCGCAAACGTCCACCTGGAGTTCCCAAGACTCTTGAACATAAACCGACGGCATTTTTGGAGCAAAAGCTTCAAGAGCTCACGACCTCAGCCCCAAGGGTCCTAAGCACGAGCCAGATACTGCGCATCTTGATTAGAGATCGCCATGTACGCCCTGAGGTACGACACTATAGGGCACTATTACGCGCCAATTCGGATGCAGAACGTGGATCACCAGAAGTAGTTCGGCACTTACTAGCAGAGATGGAGGCGAATGGGTTTACGTTGGATTCTGGGACGCTGCACACGGCATTACAGGTACGACCGTCGCCTACAGTGGTTTTCTTCCCTACACTTTACGGGATTCTTTTGACTGATAGCTCTTCACATTGACAGGCCATCGCAGTTCATCCGGACTATTTACTACGCCAGGAACTTGTGCGCACCCTTCGAGACCGATGGCTTCCATTGAGCCCGGACGGTTGGCATTATGTGGTGGCTGGGCTTGTGAGAGAGCATCAGTTCGAGTTGGCCCTAGATAATATCGCGCACATGGAGAGAAAGGACATGCCGGTTGAGGGTTGGTTACACAGCATGCTCATCTACTACCTCTGCGAATTCGAGGAGTTTGACGAGGTGGTGCGGTTAATGCGTTCACGGGTTGATCAGGGGTATGACATGACAACGGACCTGTGGCTTTACGTACTAGATGTGGCAAGTGATGCCGTTCACCATGAGACCACACGCTTCGTGTGGGATCAGATGGTTGAACTGAGATATCTTTACCCGTCATACGGAGTCTGCAGTAATGTATTGACAGTTGCGTCCCGCACAGGGGATACTGAACTCGCTGCGTCGGTCGCTCGCTTTCTGACTGAATCGGACGTACCTCTTAGTTTGGAGGACTATGAAAAGATTACGGAGGCCCACGTGATCTCTGGGAACCTTTACGCCGGTTTTGAAGTGCTCTGCGAAATGCACAAGGCAAAGATTGCGTTGGAGTCAAGTTCAACTGCCGCCATTCTAACCTGCATGATACAATCAAGAACCAGTCCACGAGAGGCATGGTCTATGCTCAAGCAACTCAAAGCTTTAAAATACGAAATACCCCTTCGATGTGCTCTAGTAGTGCTCGAGATGTGCGAGCACGAAGCAATTAACGATCCCTTTGTGGTAGATGATGGGCTTGCGCTTTACAAGCAACTTTATGCTTTGTGTTCGGAGAAAGCGGATGTCTCAGTTTACAACTCCCTTATTGGCATGTGCCGCCGGGCTAAAAATACCGATGCCGGCATGTTTATTGTGAAGGAAATGGCCACACTGGGTGTGGTACCGAACGCCACGACATTCGAGCATCTCATCATAATGTGTTTAGATGCTGGTAACTTTGAATCGGCATACATGTACTTCCAGGATCTGCTGGCACGAGACGCATCCCCCAGCGAAGATGCGCGAGCTGAGATCCGGGATCTCTGTACCGGCTCGAGCGACCAGTATGCTGTGCAGTTGAGGTATCATCCGCAGATCAGGGATGCATTGGTGCGCAGGCAGGCGGATGACTTTGATCCCACACAAGTCCGCGCAGGTCTCATCAAGAAGGTGCCGTCTGATTCACCCCTGGAGTACGCCAATCGTTTCAGACAGGGGCCGCGGAAGGTCATAACCAAAGAGGAGCGACGGGCTGAAAGCAAAGAGAAACGGAAACAGAAGAGAAGACGGCTAGCTATTGCAAGGGCCCGAGAGGAAGAAGGATGGGAAGATTACGAGCCTGGCGGACTAATCCCTGAGGATCAGGTCAAGGCCGATGCAAATTCGCCATCCAATTGATATGGATGTCGTTACCTTGTACAATATATTCTCTACCATTGTAGTTTAGTGTATATATCAGCGGTGGCTTTGAGGTTTGAAAGTTATTCCATGATGGATCAGAGAATTGACGTCAATTACCACCTGACGTTGGAGTAGTCGTAAGGCCAACATCCGCTGAAAGTGACAAACAACATGGTGCAGGAAAGATCAAACACTGCAAAGTAACAGTACCACATCTCCATGCATGTACCCTCGAGAAGCACACTGAAATGTCTCCCATTCCATCCAACGGAAAGTCTTCACACTGAGACCCCGAATGCAACACCAAGCCGACCCTCAAACCACCGTCGGTTTATTTTATCTCGGTGCCAAGAGTCTGATGTTTGGGGTCGAAGTTAGTCGGTCCCCACTGGGAGAGGTCTAGGGTTGAACTATGGTTCGAACGGTTCCAGTTCCGTTCCATGCGTTCCGTGATTTGCTATCTGCTTACAGTACGGATACAATGGAATTCATCTTTGATTCTATAAATAATTGACAATTGCTACAGCACGGAGGTCTCGAGATTGCGACCGTCCGCCGAAAGATGGCTGGCACACTGTCTTAAATCTTGCATCGCGGAGAATAGTCATATACAGACTTACCGTATATTTCTACGGTCATCTTTGATATTTAATAATAGCTAACCACTCGGATCGCAAGTGGTACCTGCCACCTCACCCCTAGTTTGAACGGGGGGTTACGCCCATGACGAAGGGATGATGCCGATGCCGCTGCTACATCCTCTGCTTTGCCTCTCATGAGATGGAGGTTTCAGGAGTCTCCATACGGGGTGGTCCGGCAAAATCTTTGCATTGATATTAGTGATCGACAGGATGCTGGTTCGGTGGTTCTTTGGTCGAAGTGCTCCACAGCCAGTCAGGTCTTCGCCTTCTCGGGGTCGAATGGCTCCTGCGCCCGACCTCCATTCACTCATACTACTACTATAAAGCACGGTGACCCTCTCATATAGTTGTTGGGTTTGACCCTACAATCACGACCTGAAACTTCTACTCCCCCTACAATCAGTTCTTTAGTTTCTATATAAAGCACGACTGTCGCCCTTCTTAACTCTGCCTTTAAAACTCTATTTGCAATTTCCACATACTACATACCCTCTTCACAGTCAGCCAACTTACCTACACTCCATCCACCATGCAACTCTCTTCGGTCTTCACGGTCGCCCTCTCTGCCCTCAACGTTGCCTCCGCTCTGCCTCTCCATCGCCTTAATACCAGTCCAGCTTTGACCTGGCAAGTCGCCAACTTCAACACTGGCTGTTCCCCAGGGGGCTGCGTGTATAACTTCAATATTACCGGCGTCGCAAGCCAGAACACCCCCGGCTTCCAAACTCATTGCTCGGGTACCAATGTCCAAGATGATTTCGCCTTCTGTGATGACAAGCACGTGAAGGCGAAGGTGGTGTCTCAACTATACCCCGTGTGGACGGTCCATGTACAACACGCTTGGTTCCGAGGCGAGGCCGAGTTCTATGCTGTTGGCCATGCCAACATCACATCCACACAGAAGAACTTTACTATCCCTGTGACTGAGGTCTATGGAGTCGCATGAATCCGGAATTCATGGGGAGATCAACTCTGATTGGGCCGTGCGAGGCCTCGAAAAAGGGGTGACGATCATCATTTCAATCCGCTACGTTTAACAGGCTTCGCGACCAAGAGAATGACAGTATTGAATACGTCAACAAGGAAAATACTACACCAACATTACAAAAA